AACTTTGAAGGATATATCTCCGGATCTATATATACACATTTCCTGTCGTGTAGAGGGAGTTTGAGCATTATAAACCACAAGATTAGAAAATCGTAAAATATAATTAAAAGTTGTATAGTGGTTGGAGATACAGTAGATATTTTACATATCTAGATTTGACGTCTGAGATACAGTAGATATTTGGTTCGTTATTTACTGCACAATTAGCATCGTTTGGAGATACAAACAATGGTGTAGAAATGATCCGACGCCTACCGTAGATTTGTTTCAATCTGAAAGTTAAAAGTATGAAATATTATATATCTTTTACACATACTACTTCCCCCACTCTAAACATAATATGAAATCGGTGTAGTTTGGTTCGGTTCAAAAATTTAGATATTCAGTTTCAGCTATAAGAGAAAAATGTCTGAATTTTTAAATCAGAATCTTAGTAGAAAATTTGGGTTGATTCTATAATTTTGGATAATTTGTTTCTATTTTAATTTTGAGATTTTAGATTATTCAATTAACTTCAATAGTTATTGTGAAATTTAATAAAATTTTCGTTAAATATAGTCAGAACTTTGGTTGATTTCGTAATAGATTACTATTTTTTTAGTTTATCTTTAAAATTATAAAGAGAGACCAAAAGATGGAATCAGTGTCGCAAAATATTGATATAAACTCTAGTTAATAAATTGGGACTAAGATGAATCGTACAATACAATCAATGATATAAAACGGTAATAGTCTTTTAGTAATAAATTGGGACTATGCTCAACGATATAAAACGGTAATAGTCTTGTAGTAATAAATTGGGACTAAGATGAATCGTACAATACAATCAATGATATAAAACGGTAATAGTCTTTTAGTAATAAATTGGGACTATGCTCAACGATATAAAACGGTAATAGTCTTGTAGTAATAAATTGGGACTAAGCTAAATCGTACAATACAATAATGATATAAAACAGTAATAGTCTTTTAGTAATAAATTGGGTTTAAGCTCAATGATATAAAACGGTAATAGTCTTATAGTAATAAATTGGGACTAAGCTAAATCGTACAATACAATAATGATATAAAACAGTAATAGTCTTTTAGTAATAAATTGGGTTTAAGCTCAATGATATAAAACGGTAATAGTCTTATAGTAATAAATTGGGTTTAAGCTCAATGATATAAAACGGTAATAGTCTTGTAGTAATAAATTGGGAATAAGATGAATTGTACAATACAACTAATGATATAAAATGG